TAAATCACTCAACAATCAAACCCCCCCTTTATTTACTCCTTTCGTTAAAAAGATAAATTATTCCTTTCCCTGTGGATACGAACTCTACTTCACCTATACTACGTGTAAGTGTTAGTATTGAATATTATTTTGAGTGCACTCACGACAAAGTGCACGTCAAATTTGGCGCCGTTGTCGGGGAAAGGCAATTAATTTTTCTTTTTATTTTATTTTAAGAAAAAAAAAATAGTTGAAGTATAAAAGATTTCTATTTCTTCTGAGCTTCGTTTGAGTGTATGGTAAGAACTCGATCTATAAATGAAATCATCTACCAAACAAACCCCCAAACGGAACAAGCCTTCGAGAGGTTTAGGAATTTATTTCCGAATACTTCTTCGGAGGAATCATCAAGTGCTAGTTCTCAATCCAGCGAGACTGAAGAGCCAATTACTATTGCTCATGAAACGAGAACATTGAGGGAGCTCACGGCTCCGAATCTAGATCAACAGCCCCTATGTATCACTTTTCCAACTCTTGATACGGGGGTCACATTTGAGCTAAAATCTGGGCTCATTCATCTACTCCCATCATTCCATGGTTTACGAGGGGAGGATCCGAACAAACACTTGTCGGAATTCCATATTGTGTGCACAAGCATGTGCCCCAACGGTGTCTCGGAAGAGCAAATCAAACTGAGAGCTTTTCCATTCTCTCTGAAAGACACCGCGAAGGATTGGCTTTTCTATCTTCCTTCGGGAAGTATCACTACATGGCCGCAAATGAAGAAGGCTTTCCTTGAAAGGTACTATCCCGCTTCTATTTCATCATCACTCAAGAAACAAATAAGCAACATTGAGCAAAAAGATGATGAATCTCTATATGAATATTGGGAGAGATTCAAGAAGCTATGCGCTAGTTGCCCCTATCACGGATACACCGAGCAAGACCTCATTCTCTACTTTTATGATGGTCTTGTGGATCAAGACCGCCGCATGGTGAATGCAGCGTGCGGAGGGGGCATTGTCAACAAAACCCCTTCGCAAGCAAGAGATCTCATCTCGGAGTTGGCCGAGAACGCTAGACACTACAACGGGCGGTCCTCAACTCGTAGAGTTGCTGCTGCGGAATCGACATCATCATTGGAGAGTCAAGTTGCCGGCTTGACTTCTTTGGTTAAGGATTTCCTCTTAAAATCCAAGACCCAAGAAGTCAAGGTCTGCGGCATTTGTACACAATAAGGACATCCCACGGACTCATGTCCAACTCTTCAAGAGGACACCACAGAGCAAGTCAACGCCTTGGGTTTCCAAGGACATCAACAAAGAAGATACGACCCATTCTCAAACTCCTACAACCCCGGATTGAGGGATCATCCAAACTTGAGGTATGGAAACCATCAACAATCCAACCCACCTTCTCAATCTAACATGTCCACGGAGGACATGATTCGAGCTCTTGCTACGAACATGGGCACATTGCAACAAAATGTTTTACAATTCCAACAAGAAACAAAGTCGAGATGGCAACTTCTGAAGAGTTTCATTCTTCTTGGTTAGGAACACAGTCCATGTGTATCTTGAGTAGTCATCAACCATAACAAGAGTATATCTTTTTCCACCAACACTGGGAGTTTCAACAGGTCCAAATAAATCCATGTGGATCAGATTTAGAGGACAAGTAGAAAGATCTCCAGCTATGGGTTTGAATGAGGTCTTCACTTGTTTTCCTTTCTGACAAGCACTGCAGAGGGTCTCCTTTTTGTAGACGATGTCAGGAAGACCATATACAATGTGTTCCCTTGCCAGTTTGTTGATGGTTTTGAAATTCAGATGGCTAAGCTTCTTGTGCCAGTCCCAGCTTAGCTTTGAATTGTCCTTTGCTATCAGACAGGTTCCATCTTTTGCTGTTTGCCAGTCAACAACATAGATGTTCTTTCTTCTTTTGGCTGTAAGAACCACTTCTTTGGTTGTCTCATGCTTGACATAGCATAAGGTCTTGGTGAATTCAACTGTGTAGCCTTTGTCACAGAATTGGCTAGCACTCAGCAAGTTGAACTTCAGACCTTTGACATATGAGACATCTTCAATGATTATCTGGTTCTTGATCAGCTTCCCTCTTCCCTTAGTTTGACCATCCTTGTCATTTCCTCCAAAAGTGACTCGGGGTCCATTGATTTTCTGGAACTCTGATAGACAACTCTTGTCACCTGTCATGTGTCTGGAGCATCCACTGTCAATATACCATTCTTGTTCTGAGATGACTCCAGCACACAGTTCCTGCAAAATTAAAAAGAAGATTTAGGTACCCAAGCAATGTTGGGTCCTGGGGGGTAATGCAGTCTTGGTAGTTGGTACCATTTTGGTCTCATCAACTGAAACCTTGGTGGATGGTACCCATTATCCACCTGGTAGTCGTAGTAAACAGATGTATGATTCACTTTGGGCAGATGCTTGTGAGGATCATGTTTTCTGTTTGCATACTTCTGCATAGCCTTCTTTGTTGGAAAGAAGTCCCATATACTATCAAGATCAGAGGAGCGCTTAACTTTAGGCTTCTGAGGTTGACCAGACAACCTCTTCTGCCTATAGTTAATCTTTTCTTGATATCTGCCTTTCTGATAGTATTTTCTGATACCATTGTCATGAGATTGTCTGATAGGATTAGGCCTTTGATTATTATTTTTCTGAAAACTTTTCCTTTTGTTAGAGTTTCTGCTAGGTTCATTAGTTTTCAAACTTTGTTTTGGTTTGGCCTTTAGAGTTTGTTTCTCTGGTATGATCTTCTCATGAACAACTTTAGTACCAGAAGTACTAGCATGACAATTGGGGCTCAGAGTCTGTGGCACTATGACCTTTTTAGCCTTAGCAACTTTGGTGCTAGGCCTTACAGAAGGCTCACCAGACTCTGGTTCAACATATCCAAGACCAGAGGTGAAGTTATGAGAGTCACCAATATTCTTCATGGAAGATTGCATCTTCAGAAGACTATTATATTTACTCTCAAGTTCCTCAATGTCTCTTATTCTTTTCAGAAGAGACTCATTTTCAGCTTTCAGTCTATCTCTTTCCTCAGTTAAGAGATTAAGTTTACACTCAGTCTCTTTCCTTATATCAGAGATATCAACTTTCAGCCTACTGTTCTCATCTTTAACAAAAGAATAAGTGGCTTGGATAGTTTGGAACTCTTCCCAAAATGATGACATTGGATCATCATTCAAGGCTGTGCCTACCGAAGAAGAAACAGAGTCAGAAGTAGAGCATACCTCATCATCTGATTGTGCCATGAGGCAGAGGTCTTCAGTTTCTGCATCCAAGCAGCAGAATGCTTCATCAGAGTCGGAGTCTGAACTGGACTCTGATTCAGAGAGTGGATCTCTCTCAGCTTGTTCTGAGACAAATGCTCTTCTTCTTCTGTGTTGATCATCTGGTTTCTTTTCTTCTTCATGTCCTTGCTTCTTGGACACTCTTGGATAGGGGCAGTTTGCTTTGAAGTGCCCAGGTTGTCTGCAGTTGTAGCAGAGGTACTCTCCATTGCTTTCAGAAGATTTGGTCTTCTGATGAGGTCTTCTGATGGAAGATGGACTCCTTCCATCTTTCTTCATAAACTTCTTAAACTTCCTGGCAAAAGCAGCCATATACTCATCAGATAAAAGAGTAGAAGGGTCAAAGTCACTTACCTTTGAGGTGCTGGCAGTGAGAGCAGTGGTGGTCCTTTCATCAGGAGCTTCCTCCTTCTCTTCATGCATCTCAAACTCATAAGCCTTGAGATCGGAAATGAGTTTCTCAGTGGCATAGGTCTTGATATTCTTGCTTTCCTGGACAGCAATCACCTTCATCTTCCAAGCTGAAGGCAGTCCCCTGAGAATCTTCATGTTGACCTCTTTGATGGTGAGCTCCTTCCCAAGCTCAGAAATCTCACTGATGAGAATCAGCAGTCTCTCATGCATCTTAGCAATGCATTCTTCTGGCAGAAGTTTGAAGTCATCAAACTTCTTCATTGCAATGGTCAACTTGTTATCTCTTTCTTGCTCATCTCCTGCTCCAATCTCATCTAGCTTGTCCCAGATTTCTTTGGCAGTTTTGCACTTCTTGATTCTGTTGAAGTATCTTTCATCAATAGCCTTGTAAAGGATGTCCTTGGCTATATTATCTAGATTGTACTGCCTTTTCTCTTCCTTGGTCCATTCTGACCGGGCTTTCTCAATCATCTGGGGCTGAGAGTTATCAATAGAGTGAGCAGGATTGATCTTCATGAACTGGATAAATGGGCCATTTTCCAAGACTTCCCACATTTCATCATGAAGGGCACATAGATGTGCCTTCATTCTGATCTTCCAATCATCATACTTCTGATCTGTGAACATAAGATGCTTTGCAAGAGAATTATCCATTATAATAAATAAAGAGGCTAAGAACAAGTGGATCTTTGTTCAGAGAGTAACCTAAAAGATTACAGGAACAAGGAGGCTCTGATACCACTTGTTGGTCCCGTTTAATATGGTAATCAGTCTAGAGGGGGGGTGAATAGACTGATTGGTTTTTCAAAATTTTCTCTAAGTCCAAAATGACTTATCAGAGAATGTCTGATTCTGGTGACAGAGAAAGGCTGGTTCTGATATCAGAACTGGCCTTGGCAGCGGATTCTGATCTGTCCGGGTAGCCTCAGAAACACTAAGGCAAATGCCTTTCTGATAACTCTGAAAACAAGATCTGCTGAACACAGATTCCAAGTCTTAGAGTTAACAGTTAATATCTTAAGTGCAGAAATATAAATTGCAGTAAAGTAAATGACACCGGATATTTTTATAGTGGTTCAAGGAACAACGCGTTCCTCTAGTCCATTGTTCCACTAGCTTTGAAGTAGATCGGTTACAAAGCTTAGTCCCTAGCACTTAAGAAGCACTCCTCGTCTTCTTCAAGCCTAGATGTCACCCGGGATGCAGTCCTGCTTCCTGATGACTGGTCCTTTCACTCAGCTTCCCGGAAGTATCACCACTTCACTACTGCCGTTACTTGGACGCCCTTCTTTGCAGAAGATCCTTTGAAAAACACAGGGTTTTTCCTCCAACTAGCTTCGTCACAATTGATGTGTTATGAAGATCTTGAAGTGTTGAAGAACAGGATGAACTTTGCTCGTTGTTGGGGATGAAAGTTTTGGAGTTTGAATCTTCCCAACGTAGGACTTTTCTTGTAGAGTGTTATGAAGGTTGAATCTCAAGAAGTATGTTCAGATTAATGAATGGAGCAAAAGTTCTGTGAAGAGTTCTTGGCAAAAAAAGTTGTTTTCCTGTTCTTCGGTGTGTAGCTTATATACTGAGGTTGTCTGCCCGTTGGAGGAGGAGACAACTGCATTAAATGTGCGTACAGTTGACTTGACCGCCGTTTTGGAAGGTTTCTATTTTTATAATATATCTTCCCGGATTCTTTGGTCAATCATTTGCAATCAATCCTTCAGCGTATCAGGCTCATTTAATGTGCATTAAATGCTTTCCTTTCATGCACAGTCTTCTAGCCGTTGGATGTTTTTACCCGTTGGATTCATAGCTGTTGGATGTTGCTTGAAATCTTCTAAGTGTTAGTCGGGCTCTGATCAGGCTCTTCTGATGTGTTGGATTCTGATGGCTTTCTAATGAGTTGAGTTCTGATGGCTTTCTGATCTCTAACTGAACTCTAACTCTGACTCTGATAGGTCCGCTGATGAGTACCTCTGATCTGTAGTTCTCATCAGTTATCAGATGTCCAAATTTATCAGCAGCTCTCATGGTGCAACTCTGATGGACTTCTGCTAAGAGAACTCTGATGGAGCAGTTCTCACAGAGCAAGTCTGGTCGAGCAGTTCTGATGCACTTCTGATCTGATCCAAAGCAGAGCAGCTCTGATCGTCGACTACACTAATACTTACAGTTGAAAAATTCTAATACATAAAATCTAATTGGGGGTACTTTAACATTCTAATCTAAATAACCTAGCATCATCAAAATCTAATTACATTTATTCCTTACAAACATCTTATGCATTAGAGATTCAAAACTTTCCTGAGTAGATTTTGAAGATTGGAGATGGGCCCCTGGGGGACGGTGATGATGGAGAATCAATTGTTACATCCCTAAAGAATTTATTGCTCCTATGACGGATGATCCGATTGAAATTATTGTTAATATCACCTATCCTGATTTTGAAATGCACTGTAATGACGTTTATTATTTAAATTCCAGGGCAATCCTTGCGCCAACCATTGATGAGCGTGACATGATTAACAATTACATGTTGGGATTGACTCCAGGTGAGGTAAAGACACACTTAAGCTCAGATTCAGCATCTTCTTCCAACTTAGACATTGCACTGCTTCAAAAGTTCCACTCTCCAGAATTTCTCAATACCATTAAATGCTCTGTTGTGCCAAGCTATGAGCTGAAGCTGAAAGTGGGTGCACTTGTGATGCTAATGAGGAATATTGATCATTCCTCCAGATTGTGTAATGGCACTCGCCTCATCGTCACTAAACTTGGAAGCCATATTCTCGAGGCTCAGATGATGTCCGGAACAAATGCATGGAAAAAAATTCTTATTCCGAAGCTTAGCTTGACTCCATCATCCGACCTAAAGCTGACGTTCACATTTCAGCGTACACCTACAGTTCCCTTTGATGCTTAGTTATGTGATGACCATTAGTAAGAGCCTGGGACAACCTTTGGAGAGGGTTGGTGTTTTCTTACGACGCCCGGTTTTCACCCATGGATAACTTTGCGTCCCAGTCTCAAGAGTAACATCCCCGTCTGGGTTGAAGTTTGTTATATGTGATGATGACGGAAAACTGGCCAAGAAGATTTTAAATATGGTTAACAAGGAAGTATATAATAATTTGTAATTTTTGTATCTTCATTTATTTATGTTACAAACAATATATACATGGGAATTTATCCTAAATAGGAATAAAACATACACAAAGTTCTTAAATAGGAGTTTATGTTTTTTTATTCCCCACTAGGACTCCATATAAATCTAAATGACTAACCAAGGCATAAGTTAGCTTCCTTTCATAACTTGGGTTTTTTATCCATACAAGAATCAATATTACCCAATGGTGGATATGTATGCTGCCGCTTTGTTAATAAACAATTCTTCCTGGTATTACCCAAAAAATATAGGCTCAATACTATCTTTCAATCTTCATGGTTTTTTTTTCACTTATTCTAATCGAGTTTTTTTTTTAAATTTTTGGAAATTTCTATTCAACTTGTATGTTCATGGTGTGTTAAAATTTCATGGTGTGTTAAAATTCCATGTCCAGTTGGTCTTAATGCTTATTTTGAGGCAGTATTATTTTTCTTTGTGCTTAAATGGATTGTAAAGATAGATGCTTGAGTAAATGAATAAGAATGGGAACTGCTTCAATTGTTTTTTCCTTCTATATGGGCTGATAGTATTTGGATATGAATCTATGATAGTATTTGGATATAAACCTGCGGTTTGAATAAGTAAAAATGGCAACTTACTGAATTTGATTATTGTGATTAACTGATTATAGATTTAAACATTACGACTACCAGTTTGGATTTCCTTGGACCCTGGAGGAGCTTTCCTCCCGGCAGTGTGGGTTCTTAGGTCGATACTGAGGCAGCGTAATGATGAAGGCTGGGGTGTCAAAGGCTTTGATCCTTTTGTTCCAGGAGGAATAGCCTCTCATCATATTGCAGCAGGAACATTGGACATTTTATCGGGGTTATTCCATCTTAGTGTCTGTCCGCCTCAATGGCTATATACAAGGGATTAAGTACGGGAAATATAGAAATTGTCCTTTCCAATAGTATTGCTGCTGTCTTTTTTGCAACTTCATCAATATACATTCTTTAATAAATGAAAATTAATACATACAAATTGGAGTGCTAACATTAATTGAGATCGATTTAGCTCCTATGTAAGATTCTTTTTGTGGTAAGTTTGAAATCATACACATATAAATACTACTGTTAATTAATTAGTAAATAGTTGACTACCTAGAGTAACAGTGGTGGTGCCCTCTCCCATGTATGTTGTATGCATGATCTCCTTATCAAGAATTTATTTTGCAGGATTTATGCAAAATAGAGAGAAATAAGTTTAATTATCCCAATTCTACAAATCTCAACTAAACAGTTTTTGCTTTATTATTTATTCTATAAGTCAAGCTTAGTCAAATTTTATGAGACGAAGAAAAGTAAATTAAGAATGCTTTTTTGAAAGGTTATAAATTAAGAGCAAATTTTTTAATAAAAAAAAAAGTAGAAGTAACTCACTATAAGCCTACGTCTTTTTTTCTACATATCTAAAAAAATGTACATTGGATATAATTTTCGCAGACATTGCGGATGCAATAAGAATCCAAATAACAGAATTTAAAGAGGTTATGAGAAAGATGAGGCGGAAAAAAGAAGTGAGCCCAGATAGCATATCGATTGAGGCTTGCACAAGTTTGGGAGAGAAAGGCATTGACTGGCTAACTGTAATGACCAAAATTAATAAGTAACGTTAATTCTTGTATTATTATGTAATGTAATACTTCCTCCGTTCTTTTTCAATTGCAACGGTCCACTTTTCACGTTTGCCAATGCACAAGTTTGACCATTAATATCTTTCATTTCGTATTAATAAAAAAATTAAAAAATTTAGATTATGAAAATTTAAGGTGAGAGGAATTTAACAATATTTTTTTCAAATTTAATTTATAATACATTAATAAATAAAATAGAGTCAAAGTAGAACATATGAATAGTGTAAAAAGTCCAACGTTGCATTTAAAAAAGAACGGGGGTAGTATTTAGGAGTAGTAAGTCTATGTATCAATAGTGGAGAGATGCAAAGAAGTGGAAGAATCCGTCAAATAGAGTGCAAAATCCGAGTAGTTACGGATTGAGCCTGATTTCTAGGTTGACTAGTCGGAACTGGCGAAACTAACGTTTCGGAAAGAGAATTTAAAGCTGGACAATCTCAATGAGTGAATGCTGGTAACGGAAGGCATTAAATGAGACGTATATGTTGGCAATTACAAGGAGTTAATTGAGAATTAGCCAATCTTTATGATGAAGCCTTCAAGTCGTCGAAATTACCAGGTCGTCACATTATGAGTATTAATGGGAAACATCAATGAGAAGATTTGTAACGGGCTGCCAACGACGGAATAAATAAATGTCAGAAGTTGTAACGCTTCTAGACTTTAAAGCTGACATGTTATTGAATTCGACATAATGGCTGGACAAACCGTCACGTTTAGCTTATTTAAACACAACGAATGCACATATGCTACGGGACGATTACTCTTATATTCAACTTTGAAACACCTCTAAAAACTTCTTCAATAAATTATATTTTAGCTACTCTTTTCTTGATCCATCATTTATTCTTTGATCTTTGCATGAAGACCATTTGATTTGTCGTTTCTGAACGTCATAATCATAATTTACGTAGTTTAGCTTAAACACTAACACGTTTCTTCAACATGATTTGGAGAAACAACAAAATGCCAGTGAGTTGGCGGAAGAGTACTCTCATAGTCTCATTTCCCTATTTAAAAATAAGGGTGATGTACAAGATTGTGAGCGAGTGGTTGAGCAAAGACTTCGAAAAAGTGTGAAATTTCGGAGAATTAGTTTGGTTTTATGTCTGGACGCTCAACAACCGAGGTCATTCACCTTCTTAGACAAGTTGTGGAGAAGTATAGAGAGACTAAAAACGACCTGCATTTGGTGTTTATTGACTTAGAAAAGGCATATGATAGGGTACCTTGAGAAGTCCTTTGGTGGGCCTTAACTAGAAAAGGCATATCAAGTAAGTATATCAGTATCATCATGGATATGCATGAGGCTTACGACGAGTGTCCGCACTAATGTAGGGAGGACCGTGGAGTTCCGTATTACTATCGGAGTGCACCAAGGATCAGCTCTTAGTCCTTCCTTATTTGTTATAGTCATGGATGAACTTACGAAGTCAATTCAAAAAGATATACTGTGGTGCATGATGTTTGCCGACGATATTGTCTTGATTGATGAGACACAATCGGGTGTTAAAGCAAAGTTGGAAGCATGGCGACAAAGATTGGAGATCAAGGGTTTCAGACTGAGCCGAAGCAAGACTGGGTATATGGAGTGCAAGTTTGGTGGAGGTAGAAGTAGTTTCAACAATGGGATTACTCTTGATGGTAAGGAGATACAGGTGTGTGATATGTTTCATTACTTGGGCTCCATAATTTAGAAGGACGGTGAATTAGATGAGATGCATCCCATAGAATCAGAGCTGGGTGGATGAAATGGAAGAGTGCATCAGGATTTCAATGCGATCGAGGTATGCCGATTACTAAAAGGTAAATTTTATCGAACAGCAATTAGGCCTGCATTAGTGTATGTCATAGAGTGTTGGACAGTGAAACAATGTCACATTCAAAAGATGAGTGTGGCGGAGATGCGTATGTTATGTTGGATGTACGGACACACCATAAAAGACCGCTTGAAGAACGAGATAATCAGACAAAAGGTGGGAGTAGCACTTATAGAAGATAAGATGCAGGAGTCTCGTTTGCGGTACATAGAAGACCGAGTGATGCACGTGTTAGACGACTTGAGGGGTGGGGAGAAGAGACAGAGAGGAGAGGGAGAGGAAGACCCAAGCAGACTTGGATTAGAGGAATTAGAACTAATATGTGTCTTCTTGGACGAGAGTGTGGCTTTGGAGAGGACAAAGTCAAGAGCGCACATTCGTGTGGACGATTGAACTCTTTTCTTCTTTCATCTCTTTATATTTCTTTTATCATTTATCTTCTTTGGCTTTTTATGTTCTAATGTTAATTTTACCTTCTAGCTTTCTTATGCTCTTTTATCTTCTAATCTTTTATTTTTCATGTATTCTTATGTTATTGTTACATTAATAACAACAATATCCAAAAAGATATTGGGGTCGGCTAGCATGAATTGATACATGATATCACCACCAAAAGGAAAAGAAAGAAAATAAAGATAAAAAATAAGCTAATATAAGAAGATAATATAAAACGATATGAATATACCTAAGAATGATAAAACAAAGAGGATAAAAATAATGTTTATATATATAAGGATAAAAGAATAAAAAACACAAGAAGAAAAAAGATGAGGGGAAAAAACAATACGAGATCACTCCTCCACACGAATACCCTCCCTCCACCTTGCTCTCTGCAAAGTCATACCCTCATCCAACCCAAGAAGAAGCATATCACTTCGGACTCTCCTAACCCACGTCTGTTTGGGTCTTCCTCTCCCTCTCTTTCCTGCCTCTTCTCCACACATCTCAACACGTCTGACAGGTGCATCACTCGGTCTTCTACGCACATGACCAAACCATCGTAGGCGAGACTCCCACATCTTGTCTTCAATAGGTGCTACTCTCACCCTTTGTCTGATTGTCTCATTTCACATGTGATCCTTCCTAGTATGCCCACACATCCAACGCAACATGTGCATCTCTGTCACACTCATCTCTTGAATGTGACATTGTTTCACCGCCCAACACTCTACGCCATACAGCAATGCAGGCCTAATTGTTGTCCTATAAAATTTACCCTTCAGTCTAGTCGGCATATGTCTATCACATAGAAATCCTGACGCACTCTTCCACTTCATCCACCCTGTTTTGATTCTATGAGATACATCTCCATCTGGCTCACCGTCCTTCTGAATTATGGAGCCCAAATAACGGAACATATCACTGATGACCGGTATCTCCTTACCATCTAGAGTAATTCCACTATTACCTCTGTCTTGCTCCGACTTAGTCTAAAACCCTTTATCTCCAATGTTTGTCGTCATACTTCCAATTTTGCTTTAAGACCTGATTGCGTCTCATCAATCAATACAATATCGATAAGTTCATGCACTACGATATTTCGTCTTGATTGACTTCATAAGTTCATCCATGACTATGTCAAATAAGAAAAAGCTCAAAGCCGATCCTTGGTGCACTCCGATAGTAATAGGGAACTCCGCAGTCCTCCATACATTAGTACGAACACTTTCCTCACACATCCATGATGATGCTGATATACTTGCGTGATATGCCTTTTCTAGTTAAGGTCCGCCAAAGAACTTCTCGAGGTACTCTATTAATAAGCCTTTTTCTAAGTCAATGAACACCAAATGTAGATCCTTGTGAGCGTCTCTATACTTCTCCATAAGCTGCCGAAGAAGGTGAATGGCCTCAATTGTTGAGCAACCAAACATAAAACTGAATTGATTCTCTGAAATCTTCACAGTTCTTCAAAGTCTTTGCTCAATCACTCGCTCCCAAAGTTTCATGGTGTGACTCATAAGCTTAATCCCTCGATATTTGGACATTCTTGTACATCACCTTTATTCTTGAATAAGGGGATAAGAGTACTCTTCCTCCAACTTGTCGGCATCTTGTTGTTTATCCAAATCATGTTGAAGAAACTTGTTAACCACTCGACGCCTCTCTCTCCCAAATTTCTCCAAGCCTCGATCGGTATGCCATCTGGACCCACTGCTTTCTTCCGCCCCATCTTTCTCAGAGTCTCCTTAACATCCGTTGTGTGGATCCTTCTCACAAAATCACGATTTACCATACAATCCGGTATGGTCAAATCACCGATATCTTGCGTTTTGTTCCCGTTGAATAGTGTATCAAAGTAAGACCTCCACCTCTCTTTTATCTCCACGTCCTCCATTAGTACTCTATGATCGACATCCTTCACACACTTAACTTTTCCAATATCTTGAGTCCTACGATCATGAAGACGAGCAAGTTTGTAAATATCTTTTTCTCCTTCCTTAGAGTCCAATTTTGCATACAATTCCTTGTTCACTTTTCCTCTTACTTCTTTTACAGCTTTCTTTGCTCTTCTTCTAGCCTCTTTGTACTCCTCTATGTTCTCGTCGCTCCAACTTTTGCCCAATTTCTTATAGCGTTCCCTTTTAATCCTTATTGCTTATTTCACCTCATCATTCCACAAAGATGTGTTCTTTTTTTGTGGTAGACTTCCTTTAGATTCTCCAAGTATCACTTTCGCCACTTTGTTAAAGGTGGACTCCATTGATAACCACACATCATCCACATGTGCGTCATTATCAAAGGACCGTACATCTTCCTCCAACATTTTCTGCGTAAAAGTTTGTTGGAGATTCCCCTCTAGCCTCCACCACTTTATCTCCGGTTTCCCTTGTACCTTAATCCTCCTTCTCTTTTTATCTTGAAAATCAAGCACAAGCATCCTATGTTGAGTGACAGCACTCTCACCTGGGATAACCTTACAATCGGTGTAGCTAGTTCTCCAAGTCATCCGTACTAAAAAGTAGTCAATTTGGGTAATATTTGCTCCACTTCTATAGGTCACAAGGTGTGAGTCTCTTTTCTTGAACCAAGTGTTCATCACAGCCAACTCATATGTCGAGGCAAAATCCAAAATGTTCTTACCCGCTTCATTTCTAGTGCCAAAACCATGTCCGCCATGGATACTTTCAAAACCATCCCGACTCGGGCCCACATGCCCATTGAGGTCGCCTCCTCTTATGTTATTGTTATCTTATATTTATTTATCTTTATCTTATTAGTTTTATCCCTTTTTTTCTTGTTTGTCTTTCCTTTTTGGCAACGATACCATGGATTGATTCATGTTAACCGGCCCCAAAATCTTTTGGGATTAAAGCTTGGATGTAGTTGGTGGTGGTGGTGGTGCGGATGCAATAAGAGCTACTTCGTAAGTGCAAAACCGTGGTGATAGTTCAAGCAATATGCCACAACTTATGATCAAAGACCTCTCTCAAATTGTCAAAAGTTTGAAGTTTTTTTCCATATTAATCTACGGAGCATGAAAAACTGGACCCTGGAAAGTAGAATATGGGAGAATCAGTGCTTAGCACATTTTCCACCCTATTTTACTCCCCCCAGTATTTCTCAGGTTCTCAAATGGACTCTAAAATAAGAGACAATCAAGTAAAAATGATAACAATGTTCAAGTTAGCCATCATCCAATAAAACATACGGAGCAGTATAACAGGGATATTCATATGCTGGTTGTGAAAGGGAAACTGTATACTCGACATTGAGTTATTGAGTACTATTGGGTGTTACAAGAACAACATCCAAGTCTTAACTATTTGGTGTTACATAAATAAAACATACGTAGTAACTTGAGAGAACGATGTTTCTTTGTAATACCAATGTGTGTCACCTATTCTAGTTCTTTGGATATCCTGTACTATATATTCAGTAGAAATCAAATTGTAACTCCAAGAATAACTTTCTGTATCATTGCAACTCTAAAACAGACAGAATATATGTAGTGTGTGTCAGGAGTACACACCTAATGGAATAGTCTGAAGACAAAGACTGGGCTATGAAAGTCGGTGAACCTTGTATCATCATCATTTTTCAACGCTTGCACGTAAATGTCTTCTTTGGGTTCTTCCTTTGCCCCAGTCTGTGTGGCATATTCCAGCGCCATCTCATAGTCAACCTGTGAAGTACAAAGTATGTATTTAACAGCTAAGATATCATCACTTCGCTTCAAACTGAATGGAACCCGAGCAAAATAAATAGTAAACCATTTTCCCACCCCGATGTCCCAATGTAGATCACTCTGTTTTGTCATGGTATGTAGATGCTAACTCACCTGTTCAACATGCTGGGCAAGCTTCAGTCTCAGTGTTTCTTCAGTAATTAAATTAGATGAAACTTGTTTCAATAAATCTGCATTCCCGCCATCAAAGCGCTTCTTCTTGGATGCATGTTGGTCAGACATAATCTCAAGCACATCAAATATAGAAACTGTAGCAAAAGAAATGTACCTAAAGAGAGTACGATTAATACGGGATCATTTAAAACATTTCATATTATCACTTCAGAGTGATCGATCATACTTGGTCAAATTTCGCTTTCTCTCCTGCTGCTCCTGAGCTTGTTTTCTTTTTACTATTTTGGATTTCAGCTGAATGCAACACTGCTGAATAGCTGTCTGGAGAAATTTGCGGTTAACACTGAATGAACTCCCATGAAATTCTGTACCTTAAAGTCTTGAACAGAGTTAACAGTTACCTTCACAGCAGAAGCGATCTCACTTATGTCATCTCCAATGTATTCCTTCCCGGTCCCCTTAAAAGGAATTTTGGTGCTTACAATGCTGACGTAGATACCAATTCTGTCTTGCATCTGATTGATCTTGTAACTGTTCCAGCTGAATAGTGAATATCTAATCAGGATCATCAGGTACTTTGTAGTTCCAACCAAATTCTTAAAGAAACAATAATAACTATCCCTTTTTTACATGAAAATAGAAACAACTTTTTTTAAACTAAAGTTAAGCAGCACAATGGTAGACTAGATTTTACTTGATCCTCTTCAGCGCGGTTCGAGTGACAACATCAGCTCCTTGCTCAAATAGAAGTGGAATGCGGTTCGCAAATCGAAAGATATTTAGACCCTAGAATTTATCCAAATCAGGAAATTCAGTATGTGCATACAATATACGATTAAAACGTGAGATTTTGGAGACAGAGAAATAAGTAAAAACTGTAAATGTGCAAGGCACAATATGCAAAATCTAGCAGTCAAAAGGCATGTACTCCTCATGTAAAAAAGTAAGACTGTATATCACATAATGCAACTTGATACTGTGAGATCCTCCACATTACTATTGGACGTTTCTTCTATAATCTAGAAAGTCTCAATGTTGGAAACTGTCACCTCAATCATTAATTAATGGTCAATGGAGTACCAGATTAAATCACACAAGTACTAAATTAGGAAGTAACAAACAAACAAGAATATATTGCACTGCAATTTTTATTACTACGCCCTTGTATATAGCCCGTTACTTTTGCTACAGAATGTGTGCAGCTTGCATTGCAAAGCACACTAGCCACCAAGAAGCAGACATCTTACATGCTTCACATCTTTTCCGCCCAAACTAACTCCAGCTTCTACAATAAAAGGGTGTCCTTCGAACACTTGAGCACTGCCAATGACAATCAACCACAATAAATAACCTCATTAAGTTGGAGATTAATCACCATAAGAAGATCAGAAATCGAGAGTCACCTTCCCGAATATGTAGCAACCATATCTGGATGCAGCTCCTTAATAATACCCAGCCGTAAGTTATATTCACCTGCAGGACTAAGAACCTGTAAAAACATAGTATTAATAGCTAGGATTAGAAATCAGTACAAGCACAAAACAATTGTACGAAGAAGGATTTACTTCGCCACTAGGATCATTGAATTTGGCTTGACGGAACAGCTGGTGGATACGAACTATCTGTTGTGAACTTAACGATTTGACCAGCATTTTGGGGCTAAAATCTGGGCCCAACTCCCCTAAACCAAACACCAATAGTAAATTAGCTAAGTATTTCAATCAGGATAGAAATATTGTATTGAAGTTTAAAGTATGTGACATTCAAAAGTGCTTCGATATGCAGCATTTATTCTTCCCTTCATTGTTGAATTCAGAGTCCATGTTTACAGTTTAATGTGGGTGGGTGGGTGGGTGTTATTCTGAGCACATACGAACCTGACATACAAGTATTCTATCATTAATCTTTTAATAATTTTTTAATCAAGTTTTTTATCTATTCACAAATATAAACTCACAGAAATAGCTTGGGTTTGAAAGCAACTTAGTTTGAAAAAGTTATACACTTCTATATGACATAAACTTTATGTAAATGTGAGCTGATAAAGCAAATATGTCTCCACTGGAAAAAGGAGAAAATGTGTTGAATCCTATACAGTAATACAAAACCTCAAAAAAGATGAAGATACGTCAACCGTGTATACGGCGATCGTATATTTATTGATTAGCAAGAAGAGCCAGATGGCTCAATGAACAAAAAAGGAAGCCTATATCCCAATACAATGTTGAATGATTCCAAATGGGACAACAAGGGAAGTAGTATATATATCAATATAATATAAAAATAAGTAAAGAAACATGGAAGTTAGAAACCCTAAGATTAAGAAGTTGTTCTCTTCGTCTTATTTTTTTTAAAGGTTCATCTTATTCTTATTACTTACTGCGTATTCTTATTTTATTCAGAACAGATCAAGTCAGATCAGAAAAATCCAGATCACAAAGATTCAGATCAGATCAGATCAAAAAGATTCAGATCAGATCAAACCAGATCAGAAACATTTAGATCAGATCAGAAAAGTTCAAACATGATTTATCACTTTTATTATTATAATAATTACTACCTCCGTCCCTTAAAACTTTGCCAAAGTTGACCAGCACGGAGAATAATAAAGTAAAATAAATTAAGAGAGATCTAGTTTATTCTAGGACACATTCACACACACCGAATCGTTCGCTAAGAGATTAGTAGCGATTAAGGGGCCGCAAGCTCGTTCGTCTTGGCAATAATTTAGGATCTTGTCGCATGAGAGATCAGCCCGATCCCCTAAATTATTGTACTCTACACCGCGAGAGCGGTAAGAACTTTGGAATGATTAGCTAGGCTCAATTAAATTAATTTCATGTAATTAAGCCTGATCTGCCAGAAATCCGATTACCCCGGAATCAATCCATGTTCAATTCGTCATTAATTAAAGAGAAAACAAGCTTTTTATTCGTTTAATCGCATTTTAATTTTCCAATCAGTCAAATCTTGCACAATTGCTTTTATTTTATTCCTTTTTAATCGCTGAATTTAGTTAATTCTTATTTCCCTTCTGTCCGTACCTGTGGAAACAATACTCGTACTTTCACCACTTTAATACTACATTTTTAAGTGCGAGAAAACTCACATCAATGGACTCCATAATTTAGAAGGATGATGAATTAGATGGAGATGTATCCCATAGAATCAGAGCAGTGTGGATGAAATGGAAGAGTACATCATGATTGCTATGTGATCTGTCGACTAAACTAAAGGATAAATTTTATCGGACAACAATTAGGCCTGCATGAATGTGTGGCATAGAGTATTGGGCAATGAAACAATGTCACATTCAAAAGAAGAATGTGACAGAAATGTGTATGTTGTGTTGGATGTATGGACATACCAAAAAAGACCGTTAAAGAAATGAGATAATGAGACAAAAAGTGGGAGTAACACTTATAGAAGATAAGATGCAAAAACTCGATTGAGGTGGTTTGGTCATATGCGCAGAAGACCGAGTGATGCACCTGCTAAACGAGTTGAGAGGTGGGGAAAAGAGGCAGAGATGAGAGAGAGGAAGACTCAAACAAACTTGGATTAGAGGAATCAGAACTGATATGTTTCTTCTTGGGTTGGATAAGAGTATAGATTTGGCGAGAGCAAAGTGGAGGGCGCGTTTCGTGTGGATTATTGATCTCTTTTCACTCCTCTCTCTCTCTCTCTCTCTCTCTCTTGTATCTTTTATCTTCTTTATCTTTCTATGTTCTTATGTTATTTTTATCTTTATCTTTCTTATGTTCTTTTATCTTTTTATGTTTTTTTCTATCTCGTGTTCTTATGTTATTTTTATCTTATATTTATTTTTATCTTATCCATTGCATTTTATCTTATTTTTATTTTTCTCTTCTCTATTTGGTTTTAATATCATGGTTTGATTCATGTCAGCCAACCCCAAAAATATTTGGGAATAAAACTTGGACGATGTTGTTGCAGCATTCAAATAGGCCATCCCATAGGATCAAAACGGGGTGGATAAAATGGAAGAGTTTGTGTCAGAATTTCTATGTGATCGAGATCGACTAGACTCAAGAGTTATAGAACAACAATTAGGCCTACATTATTGTACGACATAGAGAACGAGGATGTGAACAATGTTGCATTCGAACGAATGAAAGATGAGTGTGGTTCAGATGCGCATGATGATTAGATATATGAATATACTAGAAAAAACTGGTTGGGGAATGAGGCCACCAAGCAAAAATGGGACTAATACTTATTGAAGATAAGATGTGAGAGTCTCAACTGTGATGGTTTGGTAAAGCGTGTAGAAGGCTGAGTGATGCACCTTTTATGTGAATTGAAAGGTTAGGAGAGGAGGCGAGGGAGAAAGGGAGAGACCTAGACAGGCGTGGATTAGAGAGGTTAAGATTGATATTACTTCTTGAGTTAGATGAAAGTATGATTTTGGAGATAGCAAAGTAGAGAGTATAGGTGTAGAGGATTGATCTGATTTTGTTTCTCCCTTTTTCTCTATTTATTGTTCTTAACTCCAATGTCTTAAAAGTCTTCACATTAGCCGACCACGAACTCCTTTGGGGTTAAGGCTTGGATGTTGTTGTATGCAAATACAAGATATTAAATTTCAGCATCCGAGGTTACTTAAAGCACTATAAAAAGTCAACAATAAAGAAAATATTGGCAAGACCGCTAAGAATTATTAACATACTTCCTTTTTGCATTTGTCACAAATGTAGTTTAGATTTTGGGTAAATTTGACTTTGCACCCCACTTTTTGGGTGATATTGGAGAGTATTGGACTTTACACCTTACTTTCAAAAAACTTTAACTTTGCACCCCCATCATATAACATTTTGTGAAGAAAAAATTCTAAATGGGGTGCAAAGTCAAAGGATTTTTATATGAAATGGGGTGCAAAGTCAAAGTTTTTTTAAAATGGGGTGCAAAGTCCAATGTCACCCAAAAAGTGAGGCGCAAAGTCAAATTCCCCCTTAAATTTTTTGAATTATGTACCCGATCAAAGTGGGCAATAGTTTTGCGGCTGAGGGAGTACCTAAACCTATGTTATAGATTTTGTAGCTTGAGCCTTGAGAAGCTCTTAGATGTCTACCATGTACCTAGATATATTAAAGCTATCAGGTTTGAAGGGTCTGCTTTGGACTTACCGATTAAACGATCTGCATGGGATTTCCCTATGCTCACAAACTCATGCTGAAGAAATTGTAGAAGCGTCTGCTTTGAAGTTTCAGCAATTAGCCGCTTGATAAGGAGTATATCAACAGCAGATGGATGGTATTTAGTCTCAAGAGGAACAGGAGGCATTACATCTGTTCTCCTCGTAAACCGAATGGTCACATTTTTTCTACATTAAATTGAAGTAACAAGATGAAACCAGTAGATAAGAGATAGATAAATATGTGCAAACAAATGATAAGGTAGCTAAGAAAGAAAAGAGAAAAAAATACTCTGGAGTCTCTGATATAAATTTGAAAATAAACTGCGCGTATGGAGTGATAACAGCCATTTGACGCATATAGTGGAGTATTTTAGACTGTAAACGCAATGAAGACCAGGTTAAGCATTCTGAAGACCAAGCATGTTTGCAACCCAGAAACTCAATACTTTACCGACTCAACACAGTCAATGTTAAGCATCACATACACGGTAATTTGTCCAATTCCCTTCAATGACTATTTGGATATCTGCTCCATGCCACTTTTCTTTGTTCTCGCGTTTTTCATGTACATGAATGTGAGGAACGTTCCTGAAATATTTAAATAACAGCAGCATTTATAAAAGACAGAACCATTACAGATAATTTATAAATAATAAGCAATCATGTACTTTGTATTCATTTACTCCATCTGAAAAGAAAGTACTTCGTACTTATTTACTTAGTTCTTAGCATAGAGGTATACTTTGTGTGCATTTTAGGTTATGGTTGTAACTTTTCAAAAATTGAGGAAAATGAGTCCTTTTGCATGACAATACAAGTCCTACCGATGAATATCTATGTCCAGCCTACAGAATGAAGTATAACTTTGCCCCTTCATAGATGACATGATTTCAATTGGGAGCCCTGTACTCATCTTCGACCAAATTAATGCCTGTACGAGGAAAGACAATCAATGAACAGGATGATAAATTACTAATTTACTATCAAGAAAAAGTATAAGATTATTGGAATTGGATATCAAATAATAGCATTCCTCTGCTCAATTCATGAGTGACTGAAAGAAAAGCATATTAGGAAGGTCATTGGAAGTAACAAAATGCCACCACCAAAACTCCAAAACCCAAAGAAAAAATAAAAACTCTCTTCACCCCCATAATGTAAGAACCATGACATTCATCTTAAAAGTAAAGTAAAATTGTAAACCAAATCTTACAGAAGGAAATTAACTGAACCCTACCATCTTTGCACCAAGACCAAATTTTCCACGTGTTTGTTTCAAGCCATACTTTGTCCCAGACAACACTGCAATTCAGAATAATCAAAGTATCAAACACCTTTGAAATCATTAACGTTTTAGGGAATTTGAATTTGGATAATCAGATATGCTTCTAAGAGCATCTAATTGCTCCCTATTTCTTAACTCAACCAGCCACTTTCTATTTTATTTTTGTTTAGCTTAGTTTTTTGTTTTTGAGAATATGTTTAGCTTAGTTATGATTTCCAAAAAATATAAACTAAATCAAGAATTAATACCAACATTACATTTATAAGATATAAATGAACAATTCATTAAAACCAAATTTATACCTCTTCCAAACATGTTAGGGATATCATCATGTGGCATTCCTTTTCCATTATCCTATATCAAAACCCAATTAAATAAGTAATATTCCTAATCAGAGAGAGTGCATCACACATTCAGAGCCGGGTAAAATGAAAACTGGACCTGCAACTAAATAATAGCTTGGTGGAATTAGCATAAAGTCATACCTTGCAAGTCACACGGTAATATGAAGCCTCGCGACTTTTATTGGCTTTTGCAGCTGTTGCTTCTTTTATTTTCTTGCCAGAAGCAGCACTCTTTGCTTGAACCTCTTGAATTCGAGCTTCCTTTGCAAGTCTTTTCTAAAGCCAAGATACACCCAAATAAATTGCGAGTTATATACTAATACCTAAATGCAAGGATAGATTGCTAGCCTAAATTTTTGTACAATTTCAGCATACATAGATATCAATTCAAGCTTGCCAAATAAAAGTGATCCCATTTATTGAGACTAGTGTTAAAATAATAAAACCTCTCGGGCCTTTTCGGTCTCATAATCATCATATAGTTCAGCATCTACCCTCTGATGATCAGCCAGGCCAATCAAAGTATTAAACTTTGACCTTCCGACCTCCTCACTACAACAACAAACAGCAGAATCAAATCACAAATTAAGTTATTATTATGGGTGTGTATACACGCACACAAACTAAACCTTCTTAATAGTTTAGTAGTAAATTAACCAGTAATGCATAACTTCAAAAAGTTAACATACATTGTTATCTCAACAGCCGGAAGTTCTGATATCGATTCAGCAGAATCAAGAGCATTTTCAACCAGCTCTCTCACTGTAGTATAAAGTGACTTCCCTGGCTACAGAGTACAAATTAATTAGAGAGTTAGAACATAAAAGCCTAATATGATGGGGGGACATTGTGAAGATCTTTAACCAAAAAGGAGTTTGGGGTCAGCTAACATCAATCAACATATTAAAACAGTCAAACAGAGATAAGAATAATTAATATAAAAAGGGAGAAACAAAATGTGATTAATCCTCCACCTGCATACTCTTCCTCTACTTCGCTCTCCCCATAGTTATACTCTCATCTAACCCAAGAAGTATCATATTATTCGTCACCACTTTCATCCACGTCTCTTTAGGTTTTCCTCTCTCTTCTCTGGCTATTCTCCCCACCTCTCAATTCGTCTAACAGGTGTGTGACTCAATCTTTTACACACATGGTCAAACCATTAATTGAGACTTTCACGTCTTATTTTCAATAGGTGTTACTCCCAACTTTTACCAGATTGTCTCGTTCCTCATGTAGACTTTTCTAGTATATCCCCACACCCAACACAACATGTACATCTCAGCCACACTCATCTTTGGAATGTGACATTGTTTCACAGTCCAACACTTTACGACATACAATAATGCAGGACTGATTCTTGTGCAATAAACTTACCCTTCAATCAAGTTGGCATACCTCGATCACATAGAAATCCCGACACATTCTTCCATTTGATTCACCTTGTTATGATTCTATGTAATACATCTCCATCTAATTGACCGTCCTTTTGAATTATGAAGTCCAAATAACAGAACATACCACCGACTAGGATCACCTTACCATCCAACGTAATCCCATGGTTACCATTGTTTCTACTTTCACTAAACTTATACTCTATATACTCATTCTGGCACTTAGCACGAAACTCTTGCTCTCTAGGGGTTGTCGTCATACTTCCAATTTTGCTTTAACATCTGATCTTGTCTCATCAATCAACACAATATTGTCAACAATCTCATCAATGAATCACTCGACTTTAATGAATTCATTCCCTTTTACTGCCTCTTGTTTGGTTATAAGGAAAAATGCTATTATTCAGCATACAGCATACTTCAAAATCCCTGCAAAACAGCTTGTGCACAAGTACTCGACCAAATTGACATATCCCAACTCAAATACACTCAGCATGTAAACATGTGACTCAGAGGGAGAATAAAATCAGAACTGAAATCTCATTTGATTCATTGATCCTCCAAAAAAGATGAAGTTGAGTGACAAATGTGATTTTGGAACCATAGAATAGTGCACCTGCACACTTTCATAGATGTTGTTTTCTGACAGGATAAGATGATTTCCCAACCTCACTATATAAAGATCCGCAAGGGATCAAGCATCATATCTAGTCTACATCATATCAATTTCCATGGAACTCCTTCATTTAGTCTTGTAATTATTTCAGACCACTTTACTCCGCCTTCATGATCATATGCATCATAACTGATGATTTTTTTGCAATGAAGTGACATCATACATGGATTTATTAAAGTTTAATAATAAATGTCAATTATGTAACAGTTGATTACATAATTCAAATGCAATTGATAACTCACATTGTCAAAACCAGCTATGTTCTTGTTCTCAGCAAAGAACTCAGCCGGAGATTCTGAAAATGAGAATAATTAAAAATATAAATAAATAAAATGAACTGATAAATAAATAGATGAATAAATAAATAATCCACAGATTCAAAATTTTAATATGGAGCTGAATTGAGTGACAACAAAGTGAAAATACTTTGTTTAAGAGCGCTTTCTTTGGGTTTTCGAAGTGTTTTGGTCTTTGTCTCCGCCGGACTCTCACCACTCTCTACAAGCTCCTTTTTTGTTCTCATTCTAGTCAACGACTTCAGATAAATTCTGTAGTATTCTCCTGTTGTTCGATCAATGCCTATACTGCCTAATCGGTGATTCTTTTTCCCCAAATAATACGAACTAGGGTTCAGTTAGAGCGGAAGTTTTATCCTCGTGTGATCAGCTTATTCAGCTCATGGTGATGGTGGGTTAAATGGGCGAGATTCAGGCGTTCGTTCTGTTTTGTGCTTAAAATTAAGGGGCGGGATTTTGGTGTTCCTCAATCCTCACCTGGGTGACCACGGGTCCAAAGCGGGATGGGAACAGATTTAGAAAAAGAAAAAGTTTGGTGCAGTTTTGTAAAATAAGCTAATAGAAAAAGTTAAAAGCAATTTAAAGCATCTTTTAACTTTTAGCTTTTAAGTGTTTAATTTAACTTGTCATTTGAAAACGTTCATTTCAGCTTTTAAAACCAAAAGTTGAAAAACATTTTTTAAGTTTTAGCAAACACTCCCTTAAACGGGAACGTCCAAAACCATCGGACTGAATTGAATGACCAAAATAGAACAGAATTAACTGAATTATTTTAATTTTGAATAGATAATTTTATCAACTTAGGACCTAAAAGTTAGATGAGCTATCAGTCCTCAATATGAAAGATGAAATATGTCACACAAGGTTTGAATGGTTGAAAAGTATTCATCTAGGATAGGGGTGGGCAAATCGGTTTACGGTTTGGTTTTTTCCGGTTTCGGTTCGGTTTATTCGGGTTGGGAGAATTTGTACCAAACTGAAACCATTTGTGTTTCAGTTTGGTTTCGGTTCGGCTCGGTTTGAAGTTCAGTTTACCAAAGTAAAAACTATTAGATTTAATTTAGTTCGATTTGATTCGTATTCACTTCATATACGTAAGCATATATGTATACATAGTTTTAATGCATATATAAATATACTTTTATATATAAATAATATAATATTTTAAGCTTTGGATCAGAGAGGATCTGGGTGGATTCGCAAAAGTTCATGGACCAAAGACCGGGCCGGTATGTAACCGGTCTGAATCTGGTATAAATCAATCGGACTTGTCCTATATTTTTCAGTCTGGGATTATGCTCAGCCCTACTCACCGTACACTTAGTACTACAATTATACTAGTTTTTTACGAATGTAGTGCACTTAATACCGCATGATAATTACATCATTAGGCTTATATTATCACAATTTAAATGTACTTATTATTCTGAAAATGTCGTGCATAACTAAGCATTTGTTCAAATGAAGTGACAAAATAATCTCAACTTTAGTTTCCAATGGCTGGCCATGTGCCACAGTAATGATCATTGCAAGAGTAATAAACTATCAAGAATTACAATGTTGAGATCTGAAGACGAGTCTATCGTGAGATGGTGTCAAAGCAAGGTTGAAAATACGATAATCTTACAAACATTTACTCGATTCATTATATGAAGTTATGAACCTCAACATTATGAACTCTAATTCATAATCTAAATAAATTGTGTACCATTACATAATCTAAATAAATGGCCCATACTCTCATAAACACATATATGTACCTTAAATGTATCTTGTGTTAGAGGTCATTGTGTTAGAGGTCATACTGAGGTGGATCATTGTGCATTGATCTGACTCAATATATAAGCATTTACCTGATCCTCATTTGTATTTGAAGTAGTAATAGTTTTGCAATAATGATATGAAACTGAATCACTTTGAAGTCATGGTATATAGGTCAAGTAATAGATTCCACAAGACTACAAGTATTAAGAGAAATTATATGAAGTGGTTATTTGTAACCGATCATTATCATGATTTTTATCTAAAACATCATTATTAATAAGTTAAGTTCATTTTATGAAAGACTAAATACTTAAGTCATCGAGTTCATCGTAATCTTTTCAAAACTTGAATTTCGTAGTTAAACATCACCATTATAATACAATTAAAGTACAAAAATAATGAGTTTAAAGTCACATTTACTATATCTTGTATAGGATCGATTCGCCTTTTTTATAAGTTCGTCTGTGGGCTTTACCGCTCTTTTTTGTAACTGCAAAATTATGTGGTTAAATTGGAGTCATATCATTCTTAAAATTAATTGATGATAAGGAGGTGTGCATCTTCTATCTGATGTTACTTTGTAGTTCTCAAATCGAGGTATATTCTTGTGAGACACCTACACAATTTGCTACAGCAGTGCAGAGCCTCACTATTTAGCGGTTGGAAGACATGAGAAGTTGCACCATATTGTGGTGGGGGCAAGTCGTACGATTAATCCCTGAATCACAAGGTGATGTTGATCCTCATAAGGCCAACATATTGTTTGATGCATTCTATAAAAAAAACGTCATTTTGAATTAATGTTAAATACAACATCTTCACAACAAAGGAAACCTAACATCATAGTTACATGAGGAGCGAAGAATGTCTCTCATAATTGAATAGTTGAATATAAAGCTTCAAAAAATGTTTATAGGTCGTGAGGGTCTCATTCCAAGTTATTACCCCAGATTAGGGGTGGGTTCGGTTCTTTCGGTTCGGTTTTGACCTAAAACCAAATACGGAACCAAAGTAAAAGTTCGGTTCGGTTTCGGTTCGGTTTTACACTCCAAAACTTGGAACCACGGTTTGATCGGTTCGGTTTGTTTCGGTTCGGTTTCGGTTTTTTCGGTTTTTTACTAAAAAAATTGTCATTTGATTTAAAATTGATATAAAAGTTAGAGGGATCAAACATATGGTTATGGTTCAAATAAGAACACAATCTTATGAGAGAAATGAGAACGAATCTGAACCGTTAGATTTGCTTCAAGTGAAATTCAGTGTGCATTAGATGAAACTGTAATCTGCATTAGGTGCAATTGAAATGTGCATCACAAAGGGTAAGATAGAGTGACATTATGTGCAGTTGAATTGTGCATTACGTGAAATTGAAATGTGCACTAGGTGAAGCTGAAATGTGCAGAATAAAAAGTACGATGTGATGTTATTTTTGTACTTTTTTTCGCACATATCAGTTTCATCTAATGCACACTTGGGTTTAAATTTTTATTTTGCACATTCCAATATCATTTAATGCACATTTCAGTTTCACCAAATGCGCAATTTGGTTCCACATAATACAATCCAACGGTCTAGATTCATTCTCATTTTTCTCCTAAGATCTGTTCTTACCGGAACCGCCTCAAACATATTACATAAAAATGAAAGCATACTTGAGCAAATAAAGAAAATAATAATAATAAAATATGTCATGAATTATATGAGTATGCGGGAGAGATAAAAGTGTATATATATTCTTAATTTACATTATTTGTGACTAGTTTAAAAAACATTTATGAATACATACATCCTATGTGATATATTTGAGATGAATATTTTTTTTTATCAATTTAAAAAATGTAAGTTACAAAAAAAATTAGGTTACATAAAAATAAAAGTTAATTACTACTAATAACTAGTAAAAACATATAATCATGCAATAAATTGCAACGAACATACATCCATAGAAGACATAATAGATTAATATAGCTACATTATTATAGGCAATGAATGTGTAAATGCATTTGTGAACTAAACTAAACTAAACATAGCACAAACATTATTTCTCTAGCACAAGAAATTCAAAGAATATTGATGATATCAAGATTAATGCTTACATTTAACAAATAAATTTCATATTTTATTTTAGTTCGGTTTGTTCGGTTCGGTTCGGTTTTGAAGGGTAAAAATCAAAACCGAACCAAACTACTACGGTTCGGTTCGGTTTTTTACATTCGGTTTCGGTTTTTTAGCGGTTCGGTTTATTTGGTCGCGGTTCGGTTTTATTTGATTCGGTTTTCGGTTTTCGGTTTTTCGGACCCAGCCCTACCCCAGATAAGTGGAATGGTAAACCTGAAGTTGCAGTCATACTTCAAAAAAGAAGCAATCACGGCAACGGACAAGTAGTGCATAAGTTTTTTCTCAACTCACCATTATAAAGTATACATATATTTTGGATTTGACAATATGATCGTGGGAGTAAATTGCTTATCTTTTGTACAGTACTACAGGTGAGGGTCCAAAGACGAGAGCATCATGTTCATTGATACCACAAATAACCGGAGATTATTGGAATAGTTAAAAGTGAGCATGATTTTAAGATTAGAAGTACCAAAACCGATTTGAACCAAAATCAACCAAAGATTTGATGGTATAATTATTGTCTGAGACAATGCCAAATTATCTCACATATAATTAGACTTATTTTTATTTTATTTTTGAGAAAAAATGGTATTGTGAGCTATTTATATATCGCTTTTCAAATACATAAGTTTGCTTGTATAAATATTTAACTCAAATTTATTGGAACTACGGCTTAAACCATGTTTATCGCTAATATATACATAGTATTTATTAAAAAAATTATTCCTCCATATTCTTTTCTTTAGGGAAAGTTCTCGAAATAGGACTAAAAAAGTTTGAAAATTCCAAAATAGGGCTGTCATGTTTTTATTCCCAAAATAGGACTAATTACTGCCAAATTTGGAAAATAGTGTCATGTTTAAAGTCTGGTACTGCCAAAACATGACAGTAATTAGTCCTATTTCGGGAATAAAAACATGGAAGTTCTGTTTTGGAATTTTCAAACTGTTTTAGTCCTATTTTGGGTAATATCTCTTTTCTTATTACATTACCTTTTTCACAAATTTCGAAGGTAAAATAGTTGGGGTAGAAAATAATAAGGGAAAAGGTGCAAATAGACCCATGTACTAACCAAAAAAGGTCAAATAAGCCCTTATTTAGGAAGTTCTGTCTGGCCGTCGTCATTTGGGATGGTTCCCGGTGGAATTTTTGATGAATTTTTTTGAGCATCTTATTCATCAAGTCTAGTTTACTCATACCAAATTTCAGCTAAAACTTCAATCGGGAAGGCATTCAAATGAATTCTTGAAGATAACTGCGCTTCTAACTACCCAGTTATTTTCAAGAATTCATTTGAATGCCTTCCCGATTGAAGTTTTAGCTGAAATTTGGTATGAGTAAACTAGACTTAATAAATAAGATGCTCAAAAAATTTCATCAACAAATTCCACCGGGAACTACTCCAAATGGTGACGGCCGGACAAAGCCTCCTAAATAAGGGCTTATTTGACCTTTTTTTGTTAGTACATGGGCCTATTTGCACCTTTTCCCAAATAATAAAGAAAAAGTAGGAGAAATGGTGGAAAAGTATGAAAAAAAGATGAAAAATAGAAAACAACTAGCATAATTAAACTTTTTTAATGAGAAACCTAACAAAAGGGAAATTTCTACAAACACCAAAATACTTCTCAAGAGAAAACTCTAGCAAA